GGGGGGGGGGGGGATGGAGAGCCGCGCCTGCGCGGCGGAGGAGAGGGCGCCCGGCTCGACCTGGAAGTCGCGGAAGACCTGATGTGTGCAGAGGACGGCCGTTGCGTGTATGGACCAGACTCTCGACCTGGACGGCGCGGGGAACCTGGTGGCGAAGCCCGATGGAGGCGGAGGCGATCGAGTAGCCCCACATCTCGATCACCCAACCGAGGGTGCGGTCGGCCTGAGAGGCATCATCAATGCTGAGGCCTGAGGCATCCCCGCCGCTGAGGCCTGAGGCATCATCAATGCTGTCAGCCATCCCGACCAGCTCCTCCCAACCTCGACCGCACAGCCGAGGGTGTGGCGTGCGTGCCTGCGGGTCCGTCTTGAGCTTGACCGCCGTCTCGCTCCACGGCCCTGCCACCTCCTCGAGGTCGGCCCTGTGGATGAGCACGGGCGACGGGCCGATCGACTGCACCTGCTTGTAGCCCGCCTCGCCGCCCGCCGGCCAGACCCGCTTGATGAAGGGCGCGTGGGTCGGGTTGGGGCCCATGTAGCCGAAGAGGTACGCCATCGGCGAGCCGCGCTCGGCGCGGTTCGGGATGGGCTGCAGCAGCACGTGGTCCTAGGAGGTGTCTAGGAAGTGTCTAGGAAGTGTCTAGGTTCGGGAGGGGCTGCAGCAGCACGTGGTCCGTCTCTGCGACGAGGAGGTACTCTTCCTGCAGCGCGGCGTACCGGGCCGACTTGAGGAAGTAAGTGACGCTGCGGGGCCGGTTGATGACGCGGTAGCCGTGGAAGCGAGAGATGTCGGCCGGCTCGTACCTGCCGCACAGCGGAGGCGTCAAGGCCCCGACGAGCGACGGGAGAGAAACATCCGCGGAGCCGCACTCGGGCGTGAAATGCGACGGTATCTCCGCCTCGAGCCCGTCCGGACGGCCGCCTAGGAAGGGGACCACGCAAGGCTCGGGAAGGCTCCGGCTCCCCCTCCCTCGAGCCCGGCCAACCGATGGCCTGGCGACGCGACCAGCCGCGTGAAGCCGGTCAGCTCGGTGCAGCGGCCCGCCGGGTCTGAGTCCCGCACGCGCTGCCAGTGGTGATACATGATGCGGCACTGCCATGACTGGTAGTTGTCCGCCGTGGCGGTCAGCACCACGTGGAACGGCTTGCGCGATGCGGGACACCCTTGCACTGCCACGCCGGAGATGTTGCGACCGCTGCTGCCGCCGCCACTGCTGCCGACACTGCTGCTGCTGGCACCACCACTGACGCCTCCGGCTTTGACCTTTGCCACGTCCGCACGACCAGCTGCTGCGTTTGTGGCGCGTGTGCGAGCAGCGATGAGTGCCAGAGTAGCTGCATCTGGTGCATGCGGAGAATTGTCGTGCAGATCCGCCTGCGGCATTGAGCGCGCCCATTGAAACAGCGGCACGCCTGCAAACGGGAGCAGCAGAAGACTGAGGTTCCTCTTCGACAGCATCGGCGGCCACGGCCGCGACCTGAGGTGGCGGCGCGAATGCCTTTCACACCTGGGTATTAGAAGAAAATACCCCTCCTGGCGCCGTGCGCCTGGTCTGTCCTCCCATCCCTCCCTTGGGTTGTCTGTTTTCTTTCTTTCTTTTTGGTCTGCAGCGAGAATCGGCGAGGGACTGCGAAGAGAGATAGGAAGAGGCAGACGCCAAAGGGTGGGCGACGGATAGCGCACCACACCCCTCTTCTTAAAATCCCTGTGTGGTGGCGGCGTGCCGTCCTCCCATCCCTCCCATGTTTTCTTTCTTTTTTGGGGGTCTGTGAGAGGTTGAGGTGCGAGCCCTGGAGGCCCTGGGGATACTTCACACAAAAACACAACCCCCGACCCAAGACGCACAAGCACAGACAGTCGAGAAGGGAGAGACAGCAACGACAGTCAGAAGCCAGCGCTGAATGCCTTTTCACGCGAAAAGAATTTTATCACAAACTCCTCTCGCACGACACTGGGCAGGGGGGGTGATGCACGCCCTGTGAGCGGGGCGGGGTGCGCACTGTGCCTCTGTGTTCGTGCGTCGCCCATCTCTCCTGGAGATGACTGCTCTTATCCTCGCGCTACCCAACGCGGCCACAAAGGATATCCACCTCGAGAACCTCGAGAGAGATGACTGCGCTATTTATTTATTACACTGGGCAGGGACTGGCGCGCACTGGCACTAACACAGGTACCCCAATCGCGCCCCCTCCTCGTATTATCGTCAAGTAGAGTTTGTTAGTAGTTTATGTAAATTGCGTGGCCCGTTGGGGGGGGGGGGGGCGGTGTGTATTCTCGTGTTAGAGTTAAGGCGGGGAAACACGGAACTAACCCTCGCGCCTCGCGGAGACCCGTGTTTACTTTGTGGCCCATTCCCCGCGAACGCGCACCTCCCCAGGGCTAGGGCTCTCTAGCCCGCAACCCGACCCCGATCATCCGACCCACTGGGGGGTGCGCTTCTTAGCCCCCCCGCGGCCTTGGGTGTGAGTGCCTGAGGCTGCCAACCTCCAAGTGCTCCAAGTTTGGCCGCGTTGGGTTAGCGCGGATTGGTGTGACGCGATCCACACAGGCGTGCCCCGGGTACTTTATAACACCAAGCCCCTCAGCAAGAGG